GTGTGTACGTGTGTACGTGTGTAGGCCTACGTGTACGTCTCTCTCCTGCTCACACACGCACGCGCGCGCACACACACACACACACCCTCTCTCTTTCTCTCTCTCTCTCTCTCTCTCTCTCTCTCTCTCTCTCGGTCTTTCCATCTCTCTCTCCCTCTCTCCGCCTCCTCTCTATGTCGTCCTCTCTCTCTCTTCTTCTCTCGCAGAATACGTGAGAATATATTTGCAACATTAGGTTAGTTCCTATTTAATTTATAAGCGTATTTTCGCTAATAAATATTTACTTCTATACAATTTAACCATTTCATAAATGCACGGATAATACTTCCTGTTTACATACTCGCTATAAAGTAAATGCAATTTCTGGCATATGCGTGTAATGTTATATAATAATAAAAATAATAAAATCAATATTCCATAATCACCAGCTGCCATATCGAAAAACGTCAAATCCGTGCATAAATTTTCCAGCAACGTATCAGGAAGATCGGCTGCCGAAATCATGAGAGAAAGCCGATCATCTGACTCCGCGATATTAAACGGCAGCTCACTAGAGGGCGCTGGCAATAACGACCTCTTCGTAGAACCCACGGATGAGGATGGCTGGAAGGTCTTACTACACGCTGCCCGTAACGGACATACAAAGATAGTCAGTACGCAGTTACATCATGGCGTCGATATGGAACACGCAGACGAGAATGGCTGTACGCCATTACTGTATGCAGCTCAGTACGGTCATACAGATACGGTCGCTATGCTATTAGATAAAGGCGCCAATGTGGAACACGCGGACACGCATGGAAAGACTTCCTTATTACACTCTGCGTATAACGGTCACGCAGAGACGGTCAGTGCGTTATTAGCTAATCGCGCTAACATAGAACACGCGGACAATTTCGGTTGGACAGCGTTATTGTATGCTGCCCGTACTGGTCACACGAACACGGTCGGTGTGCTGCTATCTAACGGAGTTAACACAGAACACAGGGACAGCGACAGGAGGACCGCATTACTACGCGCTGCCGTTGGAGGCCACACGGACACCGTAACGTTCTTGTTAGATAGAAATGCTCATCTCGAACACGCGAGCAAGCGGGGATGGACGGCGTTGCTGTACGCCGCCCGCCATGGCCACACGGGCACGGTCAGCGAGCTGCTACGCAGAGGTGCCTTCATCGAACACACGAGCCAGGCAGGGAACTGGACGGCGTTGATGCTCGCTGCGCGTAACGGCCACATAGACACGCTGTTGCTGTTGCTATCGCGACACGCATTTACGGAACGCGCGAACAACGACGGCTGGACGGCGTTACTGTGCGCCGCCCGTCACGGCCACACCGAGGCCGTCGGTGCGCTGCTTTCCAGACGCGCCCGCATCGAACACGTAGACGAGAACGGCTGGACGGCGCTGCTGCACGCGGCAAACGACGGTCACACGGACACGGTCGTGCGCTTACTGGCGGCGGGAGCGCGTCTCGAGTGCCGCAGTAAGGACGGATGGGCCCCGTTAACGTGGTCAGCCTACCGCGGCCGCTCGGACACCGTCGTAGCGTTACTGGCCGAGGGAGCCGCGCCCGATGACGTGACGAGAGCGTACAACGCGGCCGTGGATCGAGCCAACGCCGTCACCATCAACGACGGCCAGCGACGGGCCGCCGGAGCGATTCTAGCGCACCAGCACTTCAGAAAGCTGCCCGGCCATTGCTACTGCGACATTGAACGCGTGGCTCCACCTTGCGACATCGGCGGCATTACGTCACTGTCCGGCGTGTGGGAGACTCCGGGCTTGGGGAAGTTGGAGAATCGCGAGGAATGCGATCAACTGCGGTCAGCCGTGCTAGACCTAATGGATCGGGTCTGCAGAGAGATGTCTGAAGTAGATCGAGACTTTGTCTGTACGCCCGTTCTCGTAGGCAGCACGGCTAACCGCACTAAAGCTGGCTTACCAAACGAATTCGATTTCCTATTTGAGATGGAAAATTTTAAAGACAGCGTGACGATTGAAAAAACAAGTACAGCTGGCGTTGTTAATGTTCGTGATAACAGAACAAACCGGCAAGTGTCAGTCAATCTCAAAGAACAATTCGTAAAAACCCTATGCGTGGCCGTGGGCAATGTAATGAAAGAAGGAGAACACGCATTTAAAATTCTTAAGAAATCAAAGATTTTAGAATGGAATAAGGTCTGTACACAATTCAATTTAAAATATGTCAGAGGCGATTATTTTACATTCCTAACATTAACCGTAGACATTACTCCTGGAGTTCGTATATCTGGTAAGCCAGCGAATGCAACTGAACGATTCCCCCACAATTTCCATTACTACGTTGTACCAAAGCCTGTCGCGGGATCAAATAATAACTGCTGGTCTGTGTGCACCTCAGGAGCAGAGAACAAAGCTATTATGAGTTTTCCGAAAGTTTATCAGCAGTCCCTAATTACAGCAAAAGCCCTAATCGATTCTCGAATTCATGATTATGACGGAACGTGTCGTAGCATGTCGAAGTTATTTCAAAATGGCGCCGTGTCAGATCTACGCGTACGTAACATGGACATAATACGGCTGTTTGAGACCACTCGTTGTAGACCTAGCGTAACGATAGATTCGTACCACCTAAAACTCGCGCTCATTCACGTCAAATCGAACGCGACGCAGGAATCTCCGCAGTGCCTGACAATCGTACGCGAAATGTTCGAGTACATCAAAACGTGTTCGAACGAGGAGAGGATGCCTCATCCTTACATCGATAATTTCAACGTGCTCGCAGAGAACTGCAAGAAAAAGATCGAGTACGTTCCGGTCAACTATCTGAGGAAGCGACACATAGACGCTCTGCTTGAGCGGTTAAAAGATGATTACGAGGGCAGGCTAGTGAGTAACACCGGGCTTATTAAAATCGGTGCTGCCGAGCTGTGGACGGTGATCGAAGAATCAAGCAGATCAACCAAGCCCACTACCGAGCCGACTGAGCCTACCGAACTAGCAGATATAGAACGGTGGTTCATCAATGCTTGGAATTTACTGACAGACACGTGTGACGCAAGCACTTAGATATTTATAACTTCACGTAGTTTTTGAATTTCCAGTTGTAAATCACAGCCATCGAGGGTATTTATTTATTTATTCATTACCTGCTGTAAAGTGTTGATCGAGATATGGCAACTAGCTATGATTACCGGTGTTAAAGTTGTATTTACTTGTAAATAAATAATTTAGAATTAGTATTGCATACTCCGACGTACTTTTATCTGTTATCTGAAGTCTGGAAGGCCTGTCACATCATGGCACCAATATAGAACACGCGGACGCGAATGGCTGTAAAGTTATATTGCCGCAGCATCCCGTCACTTGTCCTATGCTAATGTAATGCAATGCAATGCAATGCATGCAATGCAATGTCCTGTGCTATGCAATGGCGCTAGCGTCGCTGGTCGGGTTGCCAGCCAAGATAATTTATTTTGGCCAAACTTACGCGCTCAAATCATGGGCAGGGGTTTGCCCTGGAGAGTGTGCATGGTAAAATCAAACATTGAATTTTCACATTGCCCGCAGCATCCCGCGATAATCCTTTTCCTATGCTAATGTACATAGCAATGGCGCTAGTGTCGCTGGTCGGGTTGCCAGCTAAGATGATTTATTTCGGCCAAACTTACGCGCTCAAAACGGGCAGAGGTATGCCCTGGAGAGATGTGCATGGGAAAATTCGCCGTAGAATCTTCACATTGTCTGCAGCATCCCGCCACAATCTTTTTCCTATGCTGATGTACATAAGAATGTCACTCGCGTTGTTGGTCACCGTCTAGTCCGAGATTCCTCAGACCAATGTCCACACCGACGATTTTGGTGGTTTTGGTGTGGGTTAGGATTAGGGCTAATGTTAGGGATAGGGTTAGGGGTTGGGGCTAGGGTTAGGGTTAGGGTTAGGGTTAGGGTCACAATGCACCATAAAAGTTTTATTAAAACAGTTGCGTGGTTTTACGGTTGCACGAGTTTCAGGCACGTGATTTGTATCAACAAATGGGATTTGGGAGGTATGCAGGCCCTAGCTGCGAGTTAAGATGGCAGCCCCCACAACCTCATATTTTATTACTTATTACTAACAGTAACATCTTGTCAAGAGCGTATAAAGAAGGAGAGCGTACAACGGTGAAATGCTGAAACCATGTTGCAGTATTAGTCGAATTAATAAACTTTTCCCGTTTTATTTTGACGATTCTTTGCAGTATTATTGATCAGCTGTTCTATAGACCTTGTCTGCTATAGTGTTTGCTATAGACCTTGTTAATGTTATAAAACAAACCGCATGTCCCTACGATGCCTCTACGCTGAGATAATGAGCTGTAAAAATCTGGTATTTTTGCCGAAAACCGACTCCAGATCAGTCAGTACTGCGACTCTCTCTATATATTCTCTGACTCCCCTATTATCTACTCCTGATAATATAATAATCCTTAGGCTTAGGTTAGCATACGGAGCCCGGGAAGGGACACGTGAGAAATATTTTTATCTCATTAAAACGACATAATATCTCATTAAAACGACATTGTCCACCATGACTGGTCGTGTGTAACCTCAGAGGCCTTCCGGCCGCCAGAGCACGGGGCGCCATCGATCCCAGCGTTGACGGATGCGAGTGGGAAAAAAATAAAAAGCGCGAGGGCAAGCGGGGGTTATAAGGGATTAGCCATATGCCAGCTTCTCAATATAAGTACCCCTAATTACTGAATTTTAGTTTGGCAGAAAATGCCATTTTCATGCTTACGAATTTTCACAAAAATCTCCGTTACGCGTGGAGGGGTATACCCCTCCCACACCCTACCCCCTCGGTCGCTTCGCTTCTACGCCTTGGCCCCCCTGGTGTCAATTGCTGGTGACGCCAACTGCGAGAATGAATAGTTTGCATGAATTCTTGCGTGATGTTACTCCGTTGATCTTGCAGTCCTTGTAGTATTACTGCTAACGTTAGTGTGCAGAAGGGCGAGAAGATAGAGAGGGGAGCAAGAGAGGAGAGAGGATATGAGAGAGAGAAGATGAGAGAGAAGAAGAGAGAGGAGACGAGAGGAGAGAGAGAGCGGAGATGAGAGAGAGGTGGGAGAGGAGAGAGAGAGACGGAGAGAGAGCAAGAGAGAAGAGATGGGAGAGAGAGAGAGAGAGAGAGAGAGAGGATGAGAGGAGGCGAAGAGAGGAGAGAGAGGTGGGAGGGAGGGAGAGAGAGAGAGAGCAAGAGAGAGAGATAGGATAGAGGAGAGAAGAGAGAGAGAGAGAGAGAGAGAGAGAGAGAGCAGAGGAGAAGAGAGGAGGAGAGAGAGTAGAGAGAGAGAGATGAGGAGAGAGAGAGCAGAGAGAGGGACGAGCGAGAGAGAGAGAGCGTGGCGAGGGGAGAGAGAGAGAGAGAGCTAAGAGAGAGAGTTGGAATATAAGGGTTAGGGATAATATTATATATATATATTATATATATATATATATATATATCGCCTAACCCTATATATATTATATATATATATATACCCGTACACGCACGCGTGTACGGTGAGTGTGGTGTGTGGCTTAAGGGTAGGGTTTAGGGTGAGGGGTATATACCCTAAACCCTAATATACTATATATATACCCTAACCCTTAAATATATATATATATATTAGGGTTAGGGTATATATATATATAGGGTTAGGGTATATATATATATACCCTCACCCTAACCCTAACCTAAGCCCTACCCTAACCACAGACACACCACGTACACGCGTGCGTGCAGGTACACGCATGCGTGCACATACACGCGTGCGTGCACGTACACGCATGCGTGCGCGTACACGGCGTGCGTGCACGTACACGCGTGCGTGCACGTACACGCGTGCGTGCACATACAGACGCTACCCGCACATACACACGTTGCGCGCACGTACACACGTATGCTCGCACATACACATTCACGCATGCCGGGCATGTGCATCTGTGCACGGCAGATACACTCACGTGCACCTATTGTACGCAGGCCGCAGGTACACGCCCGCGTGTATGTACACGCATGCGCGCGTGCACATAAGGAGCTCGGCTGCACGATCTTGGACAAACCCAATGCTCTCGTGGCAACACCGGCATCCTGACTCTGTGACTGTGCACGAGTCTTTGCGCCTGTGCGTGCGGAACCTCGGCTTTTATGCCACAGAGAGTCGTGTTAGCTTCCTTGCCTGACCCGCAGAGTTGTTATTACAATCATCTGTGAGTTCTGTCTGTACGGAGGGGCGGGATGTGCCTATCGTCGTCATCGTAGTTGTTATTGTTGTTGTTGTTGTTTGTTTGTTCTGCTGTTTCTTGTTGGCGGCGGCAACGGAGAGGAGAACAGGGAGAGAGAAGGATGTTGGGGATGCGGTATGCGGATCAGCGAGTGGGATTTAGAGACCGCGGTCCGGAGCAATGATTATGGTTGGATTTACGGTTGCATAACTCCTTCCTCGAGTCGTGTTTTCCTCTAGAAGTTTGTGTACGCGGTGTGTACTGGTCCTTATACAATGTTACCATGATTGTTATACAAATGTTATCACGTCATTGTTATACAATGTTATCACGATTCTTATACAGTGTTACCACAATTTTACACATGGGCACCACGATTGTTATACAATGCCACGTTATACAATCAGACAGCACTGGCGTAGCTAAGGGGGGCACAAGGGGCCATGGCCCCCCCTGTTGATTAGCAAACAAAAAAAAACAAACCTTGCGCTCTCACGCGTCTTCACAGGACTGGCACACATTCCTGTTACTTCTGCATCTGCCTGAACGAACATTCTCTTAAATGAGCATTGTCAAGTCTAAACTTCGTTCTACAATGCCCAGCCACGATTCTCTGCTCTCATTCTCCTTTTCGTTGAACAGGAGTTACGTTGAATGACATTAATGTCAACGAAAATCCATCAAAATCGAACGAGCAAGACTTGACTTTGGATTTTGAGATTTCTGCAGCAGACAAAACATGACCAAAAAAAGGAGATAATTCTTCTTTGCTCAGATTTGTGTTGTTGCAAGTTGGCTTTGATTGAATTTTATGGTGCTGAACTCTTATTGACAGGAAGAAAAGAAATGGAAATGCTTTGTGAATAACTTTGATATATTCGAACTTATAGACGGCCATTTTGGCAGAAAGCTCGGTTTTTATTTGCAAATCCGATTTCAACACTATTTTAAGTAACTGTTCTCTATCAGGGGAGGCAAAAACAATTCTTTTCATGGTAAATTTCCTTTTTATTTTAATAGAGCTGCTATTTTGGCAGCTACTTTTGTTTTTATTTGAAATCAAATTTCAATATGGTTTTTAGTTTCTTCATCAGAGGAAAGCAAAACATTTTTTATAACGAACAAAATGTTAAATGTGATTCTTTAACGCTATTGTATTCTAAACGATGTAAATTCTTTTGTAATTTAAATAAATTGCATGTTTATTTAGTGAGTTCAACACATCTACCTGTTTTTCCCGTAGATCTTTATTTCGATTTCATTCAATATGCCTCTACTTTTTCAAAAATAATTTAACTTTAACTTTTATATGAGGAACTTTGAAACAGTTTCATGGACGGATAAATGCAACATTGCATCGGTACTGCTAACAACACAAATCAAACTAATTCCAATATTCCGTCAGTGCTTGAATGAGGACATAGGCGTAGCTAAGGGGGGGCACAAGGAGGCCATGACCCCCTCTTGATCGGAGAGTACAAAAAATTAAGAGAGAAGGGCCCTTAATGGGATTGGTCCTATACCACTATTTACCTATACCTAATAATGAAAATGAAATGTCGCAAAAATGCCATTGTGGATGCACATATTTTCAAAAATTACCCTACTGTGGGAGGGGAAACACCCTCCCCCGTGTGAGAAATTGCTTCATCGCTGTCTTTGGTCGCCTTAACTCTTTTCTTCCCTCCCTGAAAAACACTGGCTTCGTACACCATTTTCACTGGTCTAGCTAAGGGTCCACCAACTGGTCGTTGTGTAACCTCAGAGCCTTCCGGCGCCACAGCCAGGGGCCATCGTCCCACGTTGATCGCGGATCGGAGTGGAAAATAAAAAGCGAGGGGAGTGGGGTTATAAGGGATTAGCATTATGCCACTTCTCATATAAGTTACCCCTAATACTGAATTTTAGTGTGCAGAAAATGCATTTTCATGCACGAATTTTCAAAAATCTCCCTACCGTGGGAGGGGGGATACCCCTCCCACACCCTACTCCCTC